TGGCCCTGGCCTTGTTCTCACCTCCCAGCCACTCGATAACAAAAATTACACAACATGGAGTCGTGCTATGTTGGTGGCCCTTTCCGTAAAGAACAAGATTCCGTTTGTTGATGGTTCTCTTCCAAGACCTGCTGCTGATGACCCTACATACGCTGCGTGGATTCGTGGGAACAATGTAGTTATCTCTTGGCTCTATAATTCTGTTTCCAAAGAAATTATAACCAGCATACTATTTGCAAATACCGCCAACGAAATTTGGGACGATTTGAAATCAAGATTCTCCAGAAAAATGGTCCTCGTATATTTCAACTCAGGAGGCAACTTACATCTCTTCAACAAGGAACTGATGATGTGAGTACCTATTACACTAAACTAAAGTCAATCTGGGAGGAGTTATCAGGATACAAACCCTCTTTTCCATGCACCTGTGGAGGCTTGCAACATCTTCAAGTCTACAATGACTTATAATACATAATGTCATTCTTGATGGGTTTGAACGATTCTTTCTCCCAAATCCGTGGTCAGATTCTTCTATCAGATCCACTTCCTCCAATTGGTAATGTATTTTCTTTGGTTCTTCAAGAAGAAACACAAAGAGAGATTGGTACTGCTGTAACCCACACTCCCTCTATAAACTCTGATAATATGGCTTTTCTTGTTAATTCTTCCACAAAATCTTCTGCTGCTGATCACTATAAATTCAATAGAAGGGAAAGGCCAAAATGTGCATATTGTGGTTTATTGGGTCACACAAAGGATAAATGTTATAAGCTTGTAGGATATCCTCCTAACTACAGCTTTAAGAATAGACAAACTCCTGTTGCAAATCAAGTTCTTGACAGCCCAGAACCTTTAAATCAGAACAAACCTGACAATTTAACACATGCTCAATGCCAGCAATTAATCAATTTCCTAACCAATCTGATGAAACTTGACAATCCTAATGAAGCTGTCCCTACAAATGTGACAGGTATTTGCATGAATACACACTTTCTGTTGCATAATATTACTTATAGATGGGTTATTGATTCAGGAGCTACTTCTCATATTTGTCGTGATCGAAACATGTACCATTCATACACCTCTTTATCTGATTATTATGTTATGCTGCCTAACTCCACTAAAGTAAAAATAGAAGGAATAAGAAGTATTCAACTAAATGATGACATCCATTTGCACAATGTGTTGTTCATACCATCATTTCGATTTAATCTCCTTTCACTTCTTAAATTGCTTAATGAAAACCAGTTTCAGTTTACTATGCAATCTAACAATTTTGTACTCCAAGACCTCACGACAATGAGGAGGATTGGCATCGCTAAACAAGATCAAGGGTTACTGTTCTTTTATTTTCCTGAGTCAAAATTTACCTTCAATAACATTGATTCTTGTAACCTTGTTTCCTATGATACTTGGCATAAAAGATTAGGTCATGTTCCTATTAATGTGTACAATTTGATTGCCAATAAAACTATTTTGTCCTCTGTTGATTCTCATTTTCATTGCAGCACTTGCCAACTTGCTAAGCAGAACCGACTTTCTTTCTCTAATCCTAACCATTTTAGTCCTAACTTCTTTGATTTACTACATGCTGATATTTGGGGACCCTTTAGGGAACTTACATATGATCGTTTTAAATACTTTTTAACTCTTGTTGAGGACAAAAGCAGGTTCACTTGGATCTTCTTATTGAAAAATAAATCTGATTGTGCTATTGTCATACCACAATTCTTATCTTATATTGAAACCCCTACATGTAAAAATTTTGTATTATTTTAAAAATTTTATGATTAAGAAGATTACAAGAGAATTTTAATTAATAAAGGTTAAAGTTTGATACTAGAAAATGATAATAGGGAATAATAATCTAACATATCTATCCAAAGATTTAAAATATATTTTGTGAATTTCATGAAAGGTAAACGAATTTTTAATTATAATGACTAAATTACACAAATATAAAAAGATGGAAAGTTTAATTACAATTTTTTTTAGTTTAAATATTTAAGGGAATGTTTGATATGTAAAATAATTTTATTTTTATGGAGATCTTAAATCCGGAATTTTGATTTTTCATGTTTGATTGTTATTTAAAAATAAAAAGATTCTCAAGAATATAATTTCTTGAAAATTATTTTTAACCTGCTTTTTCACAAAAATATTTCATAAGAGAGTAAGAATTTAACTTTTCCGAATTAGAAGAAAAATTATATATATGTAAAAAGATCTACTTTTAAAATAGAAAATTTATCTCTTTCTATTTTTCTTTCGTTCTTTGTCTCTCTCACTCTCACTCCCCCTTTCTTCCTCTTCCTCTCCCTCTTCTTCTCTCTCCCTCCTTCTATTTCTATTCCTCCCTCTCTCTTCATGTTTCTCACTCTCTCTCTCCCTCTTTCTCTCCTTCTATTTTTCTTTCTCCCTCTCCCATATTTCCACTTCTCTCTCTCTTTTTTGTATCTCATTACTTTTGACCTTGTCAATTTTATTAATATTATTAAAATATGTTTTATTTTATAATTTATTGGTATTTGTTAGTACTTTTTATTTATTTATTTTTTATTGGAATAAAATGAAATAATATATTTTTATCCTTCTTATTTATTATGAAATATTTATTTTGTTTATTTATTTTGTTGAATTTTGCATTTAAATAATTTTAACTGTAAGTTTTTCAACTTTTTAAAAATAGTTTAATGTCGTATTTGTAATAAGATTTGAGTAAATAAATATATCTAATGAGATTATTTTAATGAAGGATATTTTTGTAAAAAAATATTTGTATACCCAAAAATATATAATAAAAAAATTAATTTTCAAAAATCTTGTATAAATATTCCTAAGAACCTTTATGAGTAATCAAACAAATTTTAGCTATTATCAAGAATCATGATTCCCGAGACTTGTAATTCCCAAGAATCATGATTCTTGGGTGGGAGAAAATTTTTCTTCTACCAAACGCCTCCTAAGTTAAAATTCTTAATAAAATTTAGGGATCAAAAGATGTATTTAAGAAAAATGAAATACATCTTCATACATTTATACTAGGAGCCATTTTTAAAGCTAGTAAAAAAATTGTAAGAATAAAGACAATCCATGTATCTCTTGTCATGAGGTAATAATTTTTTTATGTCTAGAATTTGAAATGAGCTTGACACCACATCATAATTCAAAATTTTAAGGCACTAGGTAGGTGGTCTTTCTCACTTATATATCACTCAATATGTCTAATTCTAACTAATGTCTAATTCTAACTAATGTCGAATTGTCTTCATACTTAAACTTTAATATCCTTCCTCAATTATAAATTTCTTTCACATTGTCACACTCACTCCTCATGCAGAAGTGTTTTTCATCTAGGTATTCAATGGTGACCTACTTGTATTGTCATTGCACATCAATAAAACATGTCCTTCACATGCACCTCTAGAAAGACTTTCAACAAGGGATGACCCCACTCTTATATCTCTTACCAATTTCATTGTCTGATAAAGGATCACACTTTTAGATTCATTGTTAATTCTATTAGTCAATATTCATTTGAGTTGATCATTAGTCACCAAGATCATGTCTAACAAATTTTAGACCTAAGACAATTTTTTTTATTTGATTTTTACTCTCATTTAATTAAATAATTTTTTTTAATTTTTTTTAATAAAATTGTTAATTAAATTTAATAACTAAAAAGTTTCAACATTTTACTCGATACTCATTCAATCACTATTTTTATTAATAATATTTATGTGTGTATATATAAATTTTAAATAATTGTATGATTTTATATATTAATAAATTAATTATAATAAAATATATCGCTTTATTATTTTAATTAAAAATAATA